TGAGTCAATATTCCAATTTCCCTAATTGTCCCAAGAATGTCTTTTATAGCTGTTTTTCCCCTGACCCTAGGGTCCAGTCATGGTCCCATGGGTTGCATTTGGTTGGGTCTTCAATCTCTAACCTCCAACCCCCATGACATGGACTTTTTGAAGAGTTCAAAGAGCTTGAAGAATACTTTGCAAAATCTCCCATATTCTGGATTTGTCTGATTAGTTCTTTGTGCTATAATTTAATTTGTTCCTTTTTTTCTCATTTCTTTGAAATGGGAGTTAGGTTTACAGATTTGATTAAATTCAAATAAAACATCCAGCAAGAATATTTCATAGGCAATATTGCCTACTTTATACATTAGGAGGTACATTATTTTTATTTTTTTCACTATTAGTGATCTTAAATTAATTCACTTTGGGTAATGACTACCAGATTTCACCTTTTAAAGGCACATTTTCTTCTTTGCTCTAAGTAACTAATCTTGACACCTTATATCTTATTTATTAATCTTTCACCTACTGGTTTCAATCCCCATTAATGATCCTTGTCTGAATGAGTTATTGCATTGGGGGTTATAAAATGGTGATTTTTAAAATTTGACCTTTCCTTCCAAGTAATTGGGTAGGATTCTTCTGTAAAGAAGGGCTTTACTTTTTTTCCCCTTTCATGCTTTTCTATCTTTTTGAAGTATCACCATGAACTGGTAAATATGTATCTATTAAATTTGCTGTAGAGTCACTCCTTCCAATGCTCATATTGTCCCAAATTTGACTAATGAGAGTCTCCTTCAGGGTTGCTTCTATGCCATTTGACAAGCCCCCATCCATTTCTCTTTACATACTTTTTTCCAATATAGCATAGCAACATGTTTCAAGCTTACTTTGTACTTTCCATACCCCAGAATGGGAATTAGTCATTTTTTCCAAGGAGTCGTGGTTCCAGAAAAGGAGAATTGTGCTTTTTAATGGTTTTTGTTTTGGTTTTTAGTTTAATGATGCTCCCTTTTTTTCTTGCCATATAGACGTTCCTTCACTGAGTTCTGTATTAAATCAGAATTACTAAGTACCAGATCTCAGTATCCCAAATATGCAAGGCAAGGGGGGGATGGGGTAAAAGAGTGGTCTTTGCTATGCCAGAGGAAATCTTCCAGCTTAAGGCAAACACTTCCTACTTTGGCAGCCTACTATAATATATCCCGTCTCCGGTCCCCCCCCCCCTTGAATTTTCTCTTTTTCTTTCTCCCTATGTCCCTATTCATTCTACTTTGACCTTTACTTGTATTTACCTATAGAATGCATTTTGGAGTTAAGACTTTAAGGTTTGCAAAATGATCATTTCCAGCAGCCATTTCGGCTAATTAATTTGATGTTTAGGTTTTGATATGCTCTTGCTTAATATTAATTTATAATTGTTTATCTTATGAAGATTTCTTTCTTTGATGAGGTTGTGATGACTGCTGTTTCTTTCAGTTCTTGAACGGTGGTTTGCCAGATTACCTGTATGTTATATCCTTTTTTTTTAAATTTTATTTATTTATTTGTCAGAGAGAGAGAGTGCACAAGCTGTGGGAGCTGCAGGTGGAGGGAGAGGCAAAGGGAGAACCAGACTCCCCAGTGAGCAAGGAGCCTGATGCAGGACTCAATCCCAGGACCCTGGGATCATGACCTGAGCCGAAGGCAGATCCCTAACCAACTGAACCACCCAGGGTGTCCCTGTATGTTTGATTCTTGTCAGTCATGGTTTGGTGTGCATCTTCCCTTAGATTGAATTTTCTACATCTGTTGCATTCTTTTCTGTCATTTTGCCAGGACTGAGTTAAATATGTCTTTTTTCTCACTGTACTCCCGCCCCCAAATCAGTGAAGAAAGGATTTTACCCACATTTTCTTTATGTAAATCTCTTTCTCCAGATGGGGGGTAAAGTCTCATTGTGTTAGGGAGGAGGGAAAATTACTGTATTGTCTGGACATATATTTTGGATTTTCCAGGAAAAGGGGGACATTTCAAAATCTGGTGAATCAAGACAAATATAAAAAACTGATTAAGGATAGGACCGCCTGTTTTTATATTCTGCCGCATAGCATGTGTTTAAATGAATTTGCCTGTAATTTGTCTTCAAATGCTGATATTTAATTCTTAGGCTATATAATTGTGCTGGCTTTTTCCAAAGTAAAATTCTTATTCTGCATGAAGGTAACATGTTCATCTACTGTAAACATTACTTCCTATGGTAACAGCCAGACTAAAAACTTCTTTTTATGTACATGATAGCTGGCAGGAACTCTTGGGACCATCACACATCATTCTCGTCTTTTGAAGCTTACTGACAAAAAGCATGCAATGGAAAACCAGCCTGGTCTGACATAGATTGACTTTGAAATCATATTAGCTTATTTAGAACACTGTCCCTTCTCTTGTTACTGTTTTTAAGATATTGAGTATTCAACAAGCTCTTCTAATTAATGTATTCTTTAAACTTAGTAACCTATCCTTTTATTAGAACCACTCCTCTTCTACAAGCCATCTCTGGCTCCTTTTTTTGTTAAAGGTTAAAAATGAGAATAATGAAGCAATTGGTTATTTATGCAGTCATGATTGGCAAAAGTTATTAGAACAGGAACCTGCCCAGAGGCGATGATTAGGTTATGAAAATGTTAAGGAATACTGAAACCAGTCACCATTTTTGACATTTACGAAATACTATTCCCACCCTTAATCGTGATGACCTATTGTAAAAGTATTTATACAGAATAATTTCATTGGACAGTGATTTTTATACCAACAGCATACATAATTAAGTGCGAGGGGGGAGATTTGGAAATGATCTGAGAGAAAAATGGGCCTGGGAAGGAAATTACTACGAGAAGAAACAGAACTCTCTTTTGGATGGAACTGTCTCTCACACACCTGATCTACACAGTTAGGTGACCTTTCCAATTAGCATCTTCATCTTGAGCACTTTGCAAGTTTGAGGAGCTGTAGAAGAGGGAACCCCTAGTTGGGTTCCTGTGTTCTTCACATTAGACTATGAAAAATTTAGAGAGGTATATGGGCAGAAAATTTCCTGATGATGGTTTTATTTATGAAACATTGACTTAATTGGCATTATAGAAAAACAAAACAAGACAAAAATCTAATTATAATCCCTTTATGTTTAATATGGTTAGAACTTTCTTTGTAAATTAGGCAGTAATTATTTTTACCACACCAGTATTATCACTTCTACTCTGCATTTTTTTGGTAGCAGTTTTACTGAGATATAACACACAATAAAATTTACCCTTTTGAAGTGTGCCGTTCAGTCTATGGCCATACCACCCTGAATGTGCCCGATCTGGTCTGAAGTCTACAATTTAGTGGTTTTGAGAGTATTCCCAAAGCTGTGCAAACACAACTATCTAATTCCAGAATATGTTCATTACCTGCCCCCCAGAACCAGTACCCTATGCAGTTGTTCCCTATTCCCCCACCTCCACCCCTAGTGCTAGCAAACACTAATATACCTTCTATCTATATGGATTTGCCTATTCTGGATATTTTTTTTCCTTCAGCTTTTCTCATGTAATATATACTTCAGAAAATTGGAGAAGAGGACAGAAAGTGAACATGGATGACTAAAACTTATTTGTGATCCTGTCTACTTAGAACTGAGTATTCTTTCCCCTAGTTGATTGGACTAGGTATTTAAAACAATAACAACAACAAAAAAACCAACATCTTTATATAAATAAAATCATACAATATGTGTCTGTCTTCATTAGCATAATGTATTTTTGTGTCTGTCTGTGCCTTTTGTGTCTGTCTTCATTAGCATAATGTATTCAAAATTCATCCATATTGTAGCATGTAGCAATACTTTGTTTCCTTTTATGGCTGAAGAGTATTCTGTTGTATAGATATACTGCATTTAGTTTATCCATTTATCACTTGGTAACATTTGAGTTGTTTTCACTTTTTCACTATTATGAAGAATACTATGCTGAATATTCATTTACAGGTTTTTGTATGGACACATATTTTTTATTCTCTTGTGCTTATACCTAAATGTGCAATTGCTGAGTCATATGTAACTCAATGCCTAACTTTTGAGGGCACTGCTAAATTATTTTCCGAAGCAGCAGTGCCATGTTACATTCCCATTAGCTATACAGGAGGGTTGTAATTTTTCCACATCCTTGACAAAGCTTTTTATTGTTAGTCTTTTTGATGATAGCCATCCTAGTAGATGCAAAGTGGTATCTCATATTATGGTCTTGATTTGCATTTTCCTAATGTTTAATGATATTGGACATATTTTCTTGTGCTGCTTGGACATATGTATATTTTCTTTTGGTAAATGTCTATTCAAGTTCATTGCCCATTTTTAATTAGGTTAAATAGTTCCTTATTGTTGAATCATACAAGGTCCTTATATATTCTGAATACCAGTCCCTTATCATCTATATGATTTGCAAATATTTTCTCTCATTCCGGAGGTTTTTTTTCAATTTCTTAAGTGTCCTTTGAAGCAAAAGTCGGTTTTTTTGTTTTATTTTTTAAATTTGGAAGTCCAATTTATGTGTTTATTCTTTGGCTTCTGTGCTTTCAGGTGACCATTGCCTAATCCCAGGTTATGAAGATTTACTTTTATGAGTTTTACAGTTTTAGCTCTTGTATTTAGGTCACTGATCCATTTTCAGTTAGTTTTTGTATATAGTGTGAGATAGGAAGTCTCTCATGAAGAATGAGAACTTCATTGTTTTGCCTATTTGTTTTTATTCATTCAAATGTAAAGATTTGAGAGAGAAATTTCTCTTCAAATGAGATGACCATTGCTATTCTCTTTGTGAATTACTGTTTTCATGATCTTTTGGGGGGGTGGATATATGTACTGTGTTCATCTACGTGCACTCTCACCAAATATGGTTGCACTTTTGTCTCACTTTTGTTTATTGGAATCTGAAAAGCAGCACTGATAGATTCAGTTTGAATCAGTTTATTCGTTTTTTTCCCTTAATTTACAATCTCACCTCTTCAGCTACAGTATAGAGAATGCCAAGAACTTCTAAGTCTCTATCAGAAATATCTATCAGAACAGCAAGAGAAGCTCACCATGTCTCTCTCAGAACTTGGTGCTGCTAGAATGCAGGAACAACAGGTAAGCATCTTTATTCTTACCTTTTCTTGACTTTAATGGATCAGCAAGATGTCTGAAGAATCATTTGCCTTTACTGTGAGTCACAGAATATAACATTGTCTTAAAGCATGTGATTGAGGTAGTGTCATTTACTTCTTTTTTTTTTTTCCATCTCCTATTCCTGGGGCACAGAGGTCAGGAATGATTACTTGAAGCAGGCTCTGGGTCAGTGGGAAAGCTCCTAGTTGTAAGAAAGCACAGCAGGAATGGTAAAGAAAACTCACTGCTCTGTTGCTTAATGAAGAAGATCAGGTGGGCTGATGTTACTCATTGTCCTTGTGGAAAACATTAACGAGCCTTTCCTAACTCACGTTTACATTTTTAGAATAATAAAAGTGACTTGGTGACTTATAAAATCTTTAACTGAAGAAAATTGGAGTATTTTGCATGATTTTATGTTTGTATGTATATATTAATCACATAAGTATGTATGAGAGTCTTTGTATATAACATTTATGTATATATCATTAAATGGTATATATTGTATAATTAAATGAAGGTTCAGAACCCTGCCAATTGTGATGTGAAACAAGCTCTAAAAACTTACTTCTTGCCCTCTAGCAAGTGATACTTGGTATTTTTTCATATCCCAATGAGTTTAAATATTCAAATGGATGAGAACAGTAAGTGTTATATATTAAAACATTGTAGAATAAACTGTGCAGTAGGGTCCAAGCCATTCATATTAAATACTAAAGCCTGGCTAATGTGCTAATGTGTTATCTTCCCCTTTTGAATAATATCAGGTCCTGTGAATGATTTTTTGCAACCCTTCTAAAGAATATCATTGCTGTTTAGCCCAGAGACCACTATCTCAGATAGGTTAAGAGTTTGGACCAAGAAAACTTCAGTTTTGAACTTAAAGTTTAGACTCATGGAAAGGTTAAGATAATAAATAATAATTTTGCTGGAATGTTGTGTAGCTCGGACTTATACCTTGTTTTGAAGTCACAACACTTATAAGAAATGGCCTTGCCTGGCTGGCTCAGTCAGTAGAGCATGCGACTTTTGATCTTGGGGTGGTGAGTTCAGGCAAGCCCCATGCTGGGCGTAGAAATTACTAAGAAAAATAAACTAAAAAAAATGGCCAAAGTATGAACGATTTATTTGTATTCTAACTTGAAATAGTTTCTTTTGTTCTGTTTTCTGAAAAACCTAGGCTATAAATGACAGAGGATGGTGGCAGCTCATCTTGATGGTTTGGCTGGATTTTCCCTGCCATTTTGAAAGCAGGGCAGGCAGTTTGGAAGGTGGTCCTTGTCTCTTGTTCTCGGGTGGGTTAGAGAAAATTGTACCATAAAGATCAGGTTTCTGACCTTTGCTTTTGTATTTCCACTCCTTCTGTCTATATGACAAAGGTGTGTTGGGGGCACAAAAATGAAGGGCAACCTATTTGGCAAGGGTATTGGAGGGGAGGCAGAGGGTTTTTCGATTGCCAGTGTAGAGCCTTTGGACCTTAAATATATAGACTGAGTCAAGAAATAGTCGCTAGAGGGCTCTGGAGGCATCTAGGGGGCTCTAAAGACTTCTAGATAAGGAGGCCTCTCTCTTTTCTTTTTTTATCTACTTCTGAAATTGGGGGAAAATAAAACCTTCTCGGGTATTAATGTTTTGTTTAAGTTAGTGATTCTTGGCGGTTTCACTAGAGACCCCTCATAATTAACACTGACTCTCTAACCTTAACTTTGAGGAACAAAACCAAAAAAATCACTAATAGTAGAATGAAGATGTTGGCCAAGTACATGAAGAGAGAACCCTCAAAAGCAAAAAAAAGAGATACTTTTGAATTTTCATTTTGACTTAGTCATGAGAAAATTTTAAAACCATGTTTTCAGTAAGTGCCTGGTAGTCAAGTCATTATGTCTTATGTGCAATGAAAATGAAATTGAAGCTACTTATAGGCTCTGCCATTTGAGTTTAGAGAGGGAAAATAAATTTCTTTTTGAACGCCAACTGGAGATTGTCATCTTGCTTCCTATGTTATCTGTTTTGTTCTTTGTGACAGGCTTCTTTTACCTGAACATTCCCTCTCATGGGAATTGGGTAAATTTGGTCAACAAGTTGGTTTTATGTCAGGAAGGGCATCACTGTAATAACTCTGATCCTGAATGAGGATGTCAGGTAAACAGTAAATTTTATTTGTTCTCAAAATAAGGTGTTTTTTTAATTTAACTAATATCCAGATTTTATGATGGAGATGCCAGCAGTTCATTTTTCATGAGGCATTTATTTGACTTTAAGAGACTTTTTCTGTTTCTTCTTTGCATTGGTGGCATCTGGCTCAAACTGCATATTATAAATCTTGCTTATAGTTTAATTAAATCCACAGTTCACCAGAAGAATGCCTTACCATATGATTTTCTTCTTTGACTTCTGCCATTTCCTTGAAACTACTCCATTTACTCCATTTACTCCATTTTTTCCTTGTTTCTCCCTCATCCTCTTTCTTGCTATGCCTCAAAGGTGAATTTTCTCATTTATTCAGCCTGGATTCATTGTGGATTCTAGAAATGTTTTTCACATGTTCTATTTAGATTAAAATATTTCATTGATGTGTGTCTGCCACTTCATTTCCTGATCTTAAGAAATAGTTCTTACCCATAGTATAACTGTGATCTTGGATGTGGGAGGATCTAGTAACCACAGTTTTGGCCAATGTACATTTTAGAGTATAGCTTTTCCTATCACAGTTGAGTGTTATTTCTCTTTTGTGAATCTGAACTTTCATGTCACCTCAAACTATGATGCTTATAACTTCTACTTTAGTCTTATTGGATAGCTCTACCATTTTAGAAATGTTACAGTATTTCTGAAGTATTCTTTATATTAAGAGAAAGCCTAGGTAGCATTTTGAGTAGCTTCTCCCACTGTCACTTAAAAATGTTGGTATGTAGGCCTACCTTATTGTTTTTCTTACCTCTTCATTTTTTTGTTAAGATGATATAAAAAAAAAAGATTTGGAATCTTTTTGAGATTTCCCCTTTTCTATAAATTGGACAAAATGATTATTACTTTTCAGCCATGGGCAGTAGATATTAATGAATCTCTGCTGTTCTGATCTGGTAAAAGGCCTTTTATAGAAACTTTTCCATCTTGTTCATAATTACTTGTTCCACGTTTCTTAATTTGGGTCTGGGTCGTGGATTGAACAGAATTTGAAATATACTAAAGATAAATCATTGCTGAGTATATGTTTAATATTTCCTGGTGGTTTCTACTACCATTGTCTCCATAGTTTTGTCAAAAGAGTCAAAAGAGTTTTCGTTGGGGCACCTGGGTGGCTCAGTTGTTAAGCCATCTGCCTTCGGCTCAGGTCATGATCCCAGGGTCCTGGGATCGAGCCCCACATCAGACTCCCTGCTCGGCGGGAAGGCTGCTTCTCCCTCTCCCACTCCCCCTGCTTGTGTTCCCTCTCTCGCTGTGTCTCTCTCTGTCAAATAAATAAATAAAATCTTTAAAAAAACAAAAGGTTTTTGTTGTGCTTAGGGTCATAGTGCCTTAGGAATACTTCCTGTTCTGAGATTACTTTCATGTATTTTTTTTGGTTAAATTTTTGTTGTTGTTTAACTGCCACATGTAGTCATGTGGTAATTGAGTTCCTTACCATTTTAATTCTAATTTTATGCATTTTAATATGTATTTAATGTGTAATATTTATTTTAATTCCATCTAGTACTAAGCTACCTTTGAGTTTGAGTTTGTTATAAGAAGCCCAGATTTTATTGGCAGTCCAGAAGGTTCACCATACTTCTGACAAACCAAATCAAAGAAAAAGTCATGCTCTTTGGATATCTATGATAGAATGTCTGGCTCAAATGTACTAAGCTCCTCACAGAATAAAAGATCTATAGATATAACAAGAATACAATTAACAACTGACTTCTCATCAGAAGCAATGGAGGAACTAAACAGTAGGATGGCATTCATAGTCAAAGAGCTAAAGGGGGGAAAAAACCCAACAATCTAGCAATCAAGGAAAGCTATTCTTCAAAACTAAAGATCACATAAAGACATTCCTAAATAAAAAAAGACTGAGAGAGTTGGTTGCTAGCTTACCTGCCTTATAATACAAATAGATGTTTGTTCATAGGAAAAGAAATGACTTAAGACAGTAATTCAAATTCACTGAGAAATAGAGCACTGGTAAAAGTAATTATGTATCCCTCTTTTCTTAAATAACTTAAAAGATACCTGAATAAAACAATAATTATAAAACTATATTGTTGGGCGCCTGGGTGGCTCAGCTGGTTAAGCGACTGCCTTCGGCTCAGGTCATGATCCTGGAGTCCCAGGATCGAATCCCACATCGGGCTTCCTGCTCAGCAGGGAGTCTGCTTCTCCCTCTGACCCTCTTCCCTCTCGTGCTTTCTATCTCTCATTCTCTCTCTCTCTGAAATAAATAAATAAAATCTTTAAAAAAATAAAATAAAATAAATAAAACTATATTGTTGAGCTTATAAGATATAAAGATGGCATGTGTATTTGCACAAAGGGAGGAAAATGGAAGAGAGCTATATTGGAGAAAGTTTTCTGTTACTGGGATAAAACTCTTTATTCATAAACAGTGTGATCTTGTATGTAGAAAATCTTTTTTTTTAAGATTGTGTTTATTTATTAGAGAGAGTGAGAGAGAGCATGAGAGGGGAGGGGGTCAGAGGGAGAAGCTGACTACCTGCTGAGCAGGGAGCCTGATGTAGGACTCAATCCCGGGACTCCGGGATCATGACCTGACCTGAAGGCAGTCGCTTAGCCACTGAGCCACCCAGGTGCCCTGTATGTAGAAAATTTTAAGGAATCAAAAAAAAAAAAAACCTGATAGAGCTAATAATTGAGTTCAGCAAGGTTGCAGGATACAAGATCAATAGGCAAAAATCAATCTTATTTCTGTTTACTACCAGTGAACAACTTAAAAACAGATACATTTAATAAAAGCAGTGTAAGACTTACACACTAAAAACAAG